TGCCTGAGCACCGACACGACTCATCTCTCCAGTATCCGGGAAAGTTTCTGACCCGTGTTCGCCCCCGGTGCTGTCCTGCTTCCCACCGAGCTTCTCTTCCTGCACTGGGAAAAGAGAGCTGGTTCTTTTACAGGTGGGGAAGGTTTGGGGTCTCCCCAGGATAACGGGGGGTCTGTTCCTGGTGCGGAGGAGCCTGGGGAAGAGCAGGGACCTGGGCGAGGTGGACACGTCGCTCAGGCCCTGGGTTACACCTGGCTCGCAGGGACAACTCGGCCGGTGTTCAGGGCTCTTCCTCAAGCTGGTGTAGGGATGGCTTCCCCAGTGCCACGGGTGCTCTCGTGGCCGAGACTGGTTGTTTATCGTGTGACGGGAAAGTATGTATTTGGGGCCCGTGAAATGGTGCAGACAAAAAAAAAAAAAAAAAAAAAAAAAAAAGAAAACACATCACGTTGGATTTCAGTTGCAGGAGAAAAACAGGGTGGTAACTGGAATGACTGGGTCTCAAGGTCTGGAAACTGTCCTTTGCCATTTGGAGTGTATTTATATTCCTTCAAAGCACCCGTCGGTCCCCATGTGTGTTTTGGGTCCTGTCCAGGTCTGGACAGAACGTTCCCAGCTTTGGACCGTGCAAGTCTGCGAGCCCGGCATGGCCGGGAGCTTTGGTTGGGCTTGAAAATGAGCTGCAGGCTACCAAAGCAGGTCTGCTGGGGTCGGGGTGGTTCCCACCCGGATCCTTCCCTGAGAGCATGGGGTCTGGGAAGGAGCCGAGTCGATGCGCGTGCTGGAGCTCAGGTTTGGTGAGGGGGTCGTATCCGGACAAGCGCAGGTACCAGAAGGAGAAGACTTCCCAGAGACAAGCCTTGCTTCACTGGCAAGCCTTCCTCCCGTCCCTCTTCAACCCCTGGAAAGCAGCACTTTTGACTAAAAGCCCGGTCAGTTGGAAGAAATTGGTTCAGGCATTAATTATACTCCTGAGCGCTGATGGATTTACTGTCGCAAGTTTCATGTTTCTTGTGTGAAAGACTCCAACAAACAGGAAACAGAGTGTACACAGGAAAAACCGTGCGTGATCCTTGCACATTGAGTTTTCACAGTAAACAGGCTGCCATGTTTAGGGAAAAACCTCCTCCAGTCTTTCCCTTTGGCAGTCATCGCAGCTGCTGGTGGCAGTAAGTCGAACACATCTGTTTTGGAGGAGAAGGAGGTGACTGGAAGGACTGGAGCTTGTAAAATTGTATCTCGTACCACGTGTTAAACTGTTGTCTCGTTCCACTGTGGGTTTTGGTAGAGGCAGCGGAGCTACGGGAACGTGAACCATTAAACTTTCTAAAAAGGTAGAAAAACTGTTTTCAAACAACCTCCGTACCTGGCAGGAGGGAGTTGGTGCCTCTCTCGTTTATCCTGAGGAGGGAAAACCACACCCTGATCCTGCGAGTCTGTCAGCAGGTCTGGGATCAAAGACATTATCTGACGCTGAACTTCCTTGCAAAGCTCTTCTGGTGGTTCATTGGCTGCATTATCTGCCAACAAGTTGTCTTATTTCTCACTGGGATTTTTCTAACTCTGTCTTTCAGCCGCTGGATCTTGTCCTCCCTTTCAAATAATTCATCTGCTTTAGATTGGAGATTTTCATGGGTTTTGCCCCATTGCTTTTTCATAATGCCGTTGCTCGGCCTGGAACAAAGCCGGTTTCACAAAGGCATTATCTCTGCATTACTGACCAGTACATCTTCTTTCATATTGCCTTGGAGTGGAGAACTGTTGACCTCTTTCTCAATAGCTTCTTCCCTGCAGCCCTTTTGATATGCAAAGGAGTCGCTAATCAGTTCCATAATTGGTGTGATGTGTTTGCATTTTAATCAAGAAGTGACTGTGTAGAAATGACCTTCTTGTAACTTGCTTATTGCCTGTCTTAGGCTGCATTTGCTGCTTTTTCTTTGCTGCAAACAAGTCACTGCTCCATCACCCGCGGGCTCCAAGGAACCTCCAGGAAAGTCAGACCTCGTTTTGCCGGCACCCAGGGACCCCCGAGTTGCTGCCACGGCCAAAACAGTTCAAGGAGCTCCACAGCTCTGGCGTGGGAGTGGTGGCACCAGCGAAGAGGGCAGGGCACGTCTCCCTCGTCCGGCAGCAGAGCTGTTTGTGAGGAGTTTAATTGAGAACAACTTGCCCTGCGAGTTGTAGCGTGAGAGCCAGTCAGAGAGGGACCTCGGGGGGTTGGTTGCCAGCCGGCTGAACAGGAGCCAGCAGTGTGCCCAGGTGGCCAAGAAGGCCAATGGCATCCTGGCTTGTGTCAGCACTGGCGTGGCCAGAGAAGGGCAACGGAGCTGGGGCAGGGTCTGGAGCACAGGTCTGCTGGGGAGCGGCTGGGGGAACTGG